CCCCCCCACCCTGCCTCTGCAGCCTCAGTCAGTATCTCCCACCCTGCCCTGCTCCAGGTGCCCCTCAGCAGAACCCAGCCCTGCAGGTCTTGCTAGAGCAGATATCCCATAAGGGAGGGCAGCAAGCTACAGAGCTCTCTTCACTATGGACATTTGCTCCAGCAGGGACTCCGAGACCTAGGAGCCCACTGTTGAGGGTGCCTCCTCACCACGCTGCCCTGGTTGTCGAGGGGAGTGAGGTCTGATGCTAGCAGGGGGTCACCGCTGCCCTCGCTGCTAGGACTTGTGCAGGCAGCACCCCCGGCACTGCACAGCTGCTACTGCCTCTGCACAGGGCCACATCACACAGTCCTGCATGTGCAGACAAGGCTCACACTGGGGGATACCAGCACAGTGGAAGGTACTGGCTGTCCAACCACTGCTGCTAGACTTCCCTGCATCTGACTTCTGCAGCCATGGGCTAGGAGAAAAGTGTCTGTTCAAAGACTCATCACCTGGCTGACTTTAAAGCTAACAGTTTAAGAAAGGGCTCTGGAGCAAGCTTCAAGCCACCTGCAAGGCACTAAAGGATAAAGACATGAGTGGCCAAGGATAGATTGCATGCAGTGAGCACCTGGGGAGAAAAGGCCTGATCAGGAGATGGATATGCATCATCCATCTCTCCCTGCACCAACACCCCAAGCTGCCAGAGCTCTACAACACCAGCCACAGCCAGAACCACACATGAAACATGCACATCTTCACCGTTTGCAGAATTAATCTCCTGTCATTTGTTACTCTAAATAGGAGAGGGAAAAGAGGATGAATGGAAAGGGGGACAATCCTGGACTAGATAGCCATCTACTCCCCATATAAGGGGAACTGGACTGTGCTCCACACAGCCCTCTGCATGATTCTAAACAGCCCTAGCAGTTCAGAGCAGGGGCAGCTCACAAGTATTTCCCTAGCTCTTCCTTGCACTTGCCATTCACCTCATGTGACTGCACAAACAGGGCAGTTTCCCAAAGCATCCAGTGAGCTGCACTGTCATTTCTGCATTTGCCTGTCTGGACACTTAGCAAGAAATGTGGGGCATCAGTGCCAGACAGATCCTCCTAGAAGCTATGCAAAGGGACATGGAAGACAGGGAGGTGATTTGAGACAACCAGCACGGCTTCACCAAGGGCAAGTCCTGCCTGACCAACCTAGTGGCCTTCTCTGATGGAGTAACTACATCAGTGGACAAGGGAAGGGCTATGGATGTCATCATCTATCTGGATGTCTCTAAGGCCTTTGACATAGTCCACCACAACATCCTTCTAAATTGGAGACAGACAGATTTGATGGATGGACTGTTCAGTGTATGAGGAATTGGTTGGATGGTCACATCCAGAGGGTAGCGGTTAATGGCTCAGTGGAAATTGGTGACAAATTGTGTCCGTCAGGGGTTCATATTGGGACGAGTACTGTTTAATATCTTCATCAATTACAAAAACAGTGGGATCAAGTGCACTCTCAGCAAGTTTGCAGAGGACACCAAGCTGAGTGGTGTGGTCGATACTCCTGAGGGACAGGATGCCATCCAGAGGGACCTGGGCAAGCTCAAGGAATGGGCCGTGTGAAGCTCATGAGGTTCAACAGGTCCTGCACTTGGGTTGAGGCAGCCCCCGGTATCAATACAGGCTGGGGGGTGAAGGGATTGAGCAGCCCTGGTGAGGACACGGGGCTACTGGTGGACAAAAAGTTGGACATGAGCTGGCAATGTGAGCTCACAGCCCAGAAGGCCAACCGTATCCTGGGCCACACCCAAAGCAGCATGGCCAGCAGGGCAAGGGAGGGGATTCTGCTCCTCTGCTCTGGGGAAACCCCCCCCTGCAGTGCTGTGTCCCCCTCTGGAGCCCCCAGCACAGGAGAGATGTGGACCTGTTGGAGCAGGTCCAGAGGAGGCCACAAAAATGGTCAGAGGGATGGAACAGCTCTGCTGTGATGACAGGCTGAGAGAGTTGGGGCTGTTCAGCCTGGGGGAGCGAAGAGAAGGCTCCGGGGAGACCTTACTGCAGCCTGCCAGGGCTGAGAGGGGGCTTATAAGAAAGATGGGGACAGACTTTTAGCAGGGCCTGTTGTGATAGGACAAGGGGTAACGCTATTAAACTAAAAAGAGGGTATATTTAGACTAGTTCTAAGGAAGACATTTTTCCCTATGAGGGTGGTGAAACACTGGACCAGGTTGCCCAGAGAGGTGGTAGATGCCCCATGCCTGGCAACATTCCAGGTCAGGTTGGACAGGGCTCTGAGCAACCTGCTCTAGTTGAAGATGTCCTTGCCCATTGCAGGGGGGTTGGACTAGATGACCAGATGACCTTTAAAGTTCCCTTCCAACCCAAAGACTCTGTTCCATGGTCAAATACAGATATAAAGGCCCCTGCTCTGGAGCAACGGAGGTGCGGCTGCCTCACCTGCAGCAAACTTCAGAGCAAGACACTCACAATGACAATAACAGGAGACATACAAACCTGTTTTATCATGCTCACATGGGTATATAGAAAAAACATAACAAGATGTAGCGCACTACTACCACAAGCAGCATCTCTCCAATTTCTCACATCCAGGAAATTTGTGCCTATTTTGGAGTAAGTTCCCCAGACAGTGAGTGATATCAATAAACTGAACAGCACAAGCTGTGCCAGAGCTAGCACCCAGGACAAACACGCTATCCAGCATCTCTGTCCTTGCCACTCTGCAGCACTTCTGCAGGCAACACCTCCAGATGTGTGCAAAGTCCAAGTACAAATGGGTTGTACCTGGTAAATGCAACTGCCAGAAAGAGGATTTAACAAATAGTCCATTTGCAAATGTTCTCAAGGACTACTACATAAGCAGAGCCTTGGGGCGAGGCAGTCACCAGCTGCTGACACCTCCCACTCTGCACAACCTGACCCCCTCTCCTTGCCATTCAGGCTACTCCACACTGGTTTATAAAGCCCTGCCAGAAGCCTGACAAGGCAGCAATACCACTGCCAGAAAGCAGTTCTGCAACCACTGCAGTCCTCCTGAACACATGGGAGGCTGAAAGCAAGCCAGCTCAATGGTGCAAATGCAGGCACTACAAGTAACATCAGCACCCAAGGGCCCTAGGCAGCGCATTGCCTTGGCTGTCTCCAGCAGACAGTGCTCAGGGCACACAGCTGGAAGACAGCATCAACAGCTGGCTCTGTGCGGGCAGTAGGAGCCATCCTCATTCTTCTCGTCACAGCATTTCACAACTGAGTGGCAGCTGCAGGCTGCTGATTTCCTCCATGACGGGACAACCCAAGCCGCATACTGGAGCCAGTTCTGTATGCATGCAAGGATGGCACTGCTACTCATTCAGAAATGGGGACTGAGCCTTTTCTTTCAGCCTTGCCAGAGTTAGCGCGTATAAACAGAAGTAGCTAAACCCTAAACCGTACCAATAAACCAGTAAAAGCAACAATTTAAATGCAAACACTAAAGCAAGGCAGAGAAGAGGCGAGGGGAAAAGATGCCACAGTGGGCGAGCACAGCTCCAGCGGAGCTGCTCCCTGGCTGGCGGATAAGCTGGCCCACAGTTCCCAAGGCAACTTGCTCAGCCCTGTTGCATCTGAGCACTCCACAGAGCAGCTATTTGCCACGGAGAGGAGAGTCCCACTGAGCACGCACGGGCTGGGCTGCCGTTGCTGTGGGAACCACAACCTTGTGTTTAGAGTCTCAGCCATTATGCTGCTTTTTACATTTAACAGATCTCTCATCGTACTGCTATGTCTGAGCTAATGTTTGCTGGTGGCTGCCTCACATGTCCAAAGTTCAGCTACACCCAACTGAGCTGTTTGCATGCTCTTCCTATGGGCAACAGTGGAGGTGGTGTAACCCAGTTTGCCTCGAGGCACCTCTAAAATACTCAGGTCCCAGACTGCAAAGCCCATCTATACCAGCTATTGCGAGCTCTAGCCCTCAGTACCCAGAGCCACCTAGAAACATGGACCCAGAGACACATCTGTGGCACGGCTCATTGCCACAAACTGCATTCTTCTCCACCCATAAATTCTCAGCCTGTTTCCTCTTCTGTTACAGCTTCAGGCCACAGCTCGGATCAGTGTCATGTCTCTTCTCAGTGTGCATACCTACCTTTCTGTCACATCACAGACCTCTTCCACAGGCAGCAGACCCAAGAGGCGCAAGTCCT